CTACTATTAAATACTCCTACATCTAACTTATTAATATTCAATAAATTAATCAAAATCTTTCTCTCAGGATCATTCCCGACACACTCCACTAGACGATGGTAGACATCCTCTATTTTATTACTACAAACTGGACATATCGGAGAATCCACCTTTTTCATAAGCAAAGCAAAGACTCGTAGTGGCATGTGTCCGGAACGAATTCTGAGAGCAGTTACTAAGACATTTCTCTTTACTTTAAAATTACAAAACCAAGGAACTTGAGATACCTTTGACTTTTGATTCCTCACTAAAGTATTTTGCCTATTCATAAAAGTAGGTAGGTTTGTATATCTGTAAACGAACCTACCCACGACACAGGAAAAAAGACAAAATCGTAGTGCGAGGCAAGAGACAAGGTTTTATTTTTTAATCTTGTAATATTAATTGCTACGTTTATAAAAATCCGTTCAGTAGTTTTTTATGATTTTAGCAATTTCACAGACAGAGACTGCCTCGTTGGCCGAGTGATCGCAAATACGACTGCCAGGCAAGGGGTCTCGAGTTCAATTCCCGGGTCGGGCAAAGTATTAATGGGCATTTAAAAAAAATTTCAGTAGTAGTCCGGAGTCTGGAAATGTGCCCGGTATATCGTAATAGACTCATCCCATATTACATGGGACTCATAACATAAATAGTGAAAAGTGGGTATTACATTGTACAGTGGCATTAAGTGCCGTAGTGTGCACCTCTGCCTACCCTTTAGGGGATAAAAGGCGTGACGTTATGTTTGCATGTTATATTTATGAAAATCGGTTCAGTAGTTTTCAAGTTTTTAGCAATTTAACAGACAGATATTAAAAAACTTAGATTTATAACAATACTGTGATCTAGACCTACACAAGAAACCGGTTGAAATCTATTCCGGCAAAAAACGTGTGAGAAGGACAAGTCATAACTTTAGCGAAGGCATGAACGAGACAAAATATAGCCATTGTTGACGCGTTGCCCTTGACAACGTTTGAGGAAATGGGATAAAAAATATTTCTTGCCTTGTTTTATGTATGTATAAGCTTGTTTGCAAATATCTGATTTGTTTAGTAAATTTTCCTGAAGGGACCATCTCGCCTGATGGTAAGCGATGATGCAGCCGACGATGGAGCACGCCTACCTATGAGCAACCTATTCACTCGGGACTTGAAGACACCCAAAGTCAAAGTCAAAGTCAAAGTATTTATTCGTGTGCTTTTTGGTGATACAAAAGGGTCTTAAAATTATTATTATAGTAGCGCAAAAAGCTGCCCATTAGGCATACACTATTTAAAGTATAAAAATATTCATCACATTCAAAATTGTAACAAAAATAAATAATAAAATGTCAAAAATTAGTCACAATATAAATTATAAATTATAACAGGCATTAAATAAACAATCAATAGCAAAAATGTCAAAAATTTTGCAACAAAATAAATTAATACAAGCACTAAATAAACAATAAGTTACCCAAGTTTTCATAATTAATTATACACATAGTTGTCAGTTTATTACATTTTGTCATGAAAGAAATCGTCAATGGTATAATAGCATTTATCAATTAGAAAATTGTTAAGTTTCCGTTTAAATTGTGTTAAATTCAGATTCTTGATAGTATTTGGGATTTTATTATATATTTTGGGTGCCATGCAAAGGATACTTTTGTGCTTAAGGGCTGTCTTTGAGGCTCTCAGACATAATTCGTGTCGACGTTCTGATCTTGTCGATCTATGACGGTCCTCAGAGGCTTTTTTAAACAAAGTACTATTTTTTCTGACGAACAGTGCAGTTTCGTATATGTAAAGGCAGGGTAAAGTTAGTATTCTAAGAGATTTAAAATGAGGTTCACAACTGTCCGTTACTTTCAAGCTACACATCGACCTAATGCACCTTTTCTGTGCTTTAAAAATAGTACATTTCTCGGAGGAATTTCCCCAAAAAATTACACCATATCTTAATGTGGATTCAACATAACCATAGTATGCAGCAACAACTGCTGCCTGGTTAACTATTTTCTTGAGTTTGTATAGAGCAAAGGCAAAGCGACTTAATTTTTTTATAAGAATTGATGCATGTTCTTTCCAAGTCAGTTTACAGTCAATAGTTAGTCCCAAAAATCTTGTATGCTCTACTTCTTCAATTCTTTTATCGTCAATAGATATATTTATGTCAGAAGTAGTTGTTCTTTGTCTAAATTGTATAATTTTAGTCTTATTTACATTTAATTGTAAATTATTTTGATCAAGCCAATTAATTGATTGTTGCAAAGAATCTTTAATGTCACGTTCATAATTTCTATTTTTATTCTGTTCAATAATTATTGTGCTGTCATCAGCAAAAAGAACCATAGGAAAAGTGACGTGTTTTGGAAAGTCATTTATGTAAACCAAAAATAACAGCGGGCCCAGTACGCTACCCTGTGGCACGCCATAAGTGACTTTACGTGTTTTAGATAAATATTTAAGTTCCTTTTTACCTTTTTTTGAGACTCGTTTAATTTCCGTACACTGCGTTCTATTGTCAAGATATGATTGTATAAGTGAAAATGCTTTGCCCCTTATTCCATAAGCATTTAGTTTCTGTAGTAAAATATTATGATCAACTAAGTCAAAAGCTTTCGTCATGTCCATAAATATAGCACTAATTGGGATTCTGTTATCAATATTTGTGATTAAGATATTAAGGAAATCGTAGATAGCCATGTTTATTGATGTATTCTTTCTAAAACCTTTTTGTTCTTGTACTAATAGATTATGTTTTGTAAAAAAAGAATCCATACGGTGATGAATCGCTTTCTCAAATATTTTTGATATCATTGGTATTAGGGCAATAGGTCTATAATTATTTATATCATTTTTATCATTTTTCTTAAATAGTGGTTTAATTATAGTTGGTTTGAGTTTATCAGGATAGATTCCAGATGAGATACTAACATTAATTATGTGACAAATGGGCCCAGATATTATATCGGAAACAAATTTTAATCCTTTTGTCGAGATGTCATCATATCCTACACTAACTTTATTTTTTAGATTGTCTATTAGCCTACGTATTTCATCAGGTGTAGTCGGAGCCAAGAACATTGATTTGCAACATGTATGCGGGATTTCATAGTTTGCAGATTTTGAGACCTTCGAAAGTAATTCTGCTTGTTCCACAAAGTGATCGTTAAATGCGTTAGCGATATCACTAGGATCGGTTATTATATCCCCGTTCCTTCGTATTTCCGCTATGTGTTCATAGGGAGAGCAGTATTTATTTTCATTAATGATCCTCCATGTGTCTTTGGATTTATTGGTTGAGGTCATTATCTTATGGTTATTTCTTGCCTTTTGTGTTAGTTTTATTATTTTTTTTAATCTTTGCGTGTAACTTTTAAGTTTCGTTAAGTTATTGTAATTTGGTTT